CTTTCACTTTCTCTGTGGGAAGACACAAACGTGAAGAACCGAACCTGTGTGTGTGTGTGTGTGTGTGTGTGTGTGTGTGTGTGTCGATCATTAACCCTTAGTTACCAACGCCCAGCTAAGTTATGCTCAGCTCTTACACTGCTCCTTCACATGGTGTGATTTTTTAAGTGGGACTGAAAAAGTACACCGAGAATTGTATAGCGTGTGGAAAGGCCTTCACAGTACGCACGATTTGAAGTTGGAGGCATTATTTTCAGTCACATTTATAAAATCAGGCTAAGTAGAGAAGCTTTATAAGTGATCTTACCGTACACTGAAGTAAAGTATCCTGACGAGGGGATGAAGAGACTAACAGCAAATAAGGAGACTTTTATTAGTACGTTTCACCAACACGACGTCTTTACTAACAAAAATCTCCTTTTTACTGTAAGTGCCTTTGAACCCATTTATTTACATTGGTAAGTGTCAAGTCTTCACGGTTGCTTCAATAAATCTTAAGTGTAACGATGTGAAGTTATTGATTCTGGAAACTGTTACCCGGGAGCAAATCATTGAACTAATGTAGGTCAGGTTTAAATTATTTGAATGTTCTGAATCACATCTAATGCCTTGAATTATGTCTAATATCCTGACTCACTTCTAATGCAGTGATTATTATTTTGTATCCTGATTCATGTCAAGTGCTCTGATTTATGTCTAATGGCTGGATTTATATCTAATGTCTAATTATTATGTCTAATTTCCTGAATTATGTCTAATACCCCGAATTGTATCTAGTGCCCTGAATCATGCCTAATGCAATGATTCTGTTACTTACGAGGTGCAAACTGACCTCCATCGATGCAGAGGACCTGGTAGTACTGGTGACGGTCGGAGGTGGAGGTCCTAATCTGATCCGGCTTGCTGATGGCGTCTTCGTCGGAGAGGACGCACGTCTTCGAGGTGGTGTCGTACTCCAGGCTCCGGCAGAAGATGGAGACTCCATCGATGCACCTTTCCTTACACTCATCCAGTTCGACTCCCCTGTGTACCTCGGTGTCGTAGGAGCCAGCCAGTTCGGTGTTCACGGCCTTCACGAACATCAGTTTGTTCTTGGGACAACGGCGATCCTCTGAAGGAGAGATGATGATGAAGAACACAACGCTGCGCACACAACAAAATATACACACGCACACATTGACATATACACACAATAGGCCAAATGTCTATGGATTAGAGCCTTTGACAGTAGTTAACTAACACGGACATACAACACTCACCCATATAAATAACAGGCCAAGTATCTATTGATAAAGGCTTGGACATATGGTAATTAACTCTTACATACACACACACACACACACACACACACACACACACACACACACAGGGGTATGTATCGTCCCTAGAAGGAACGATACATACGCCTTTTTCCTACCATCCGGGACTTACCAACTCCTGTTGCTTCTATTCTACTCCATCCTTTGTAAATGCTCAAACTACCTCAACAACTTCTCTTCTGTCCTCTAAATTATACCTCTGGTAACCCCCTCATCGTCTTCTAATTCTAACTCTTCAGATTCTTGGTATGGTATTCACACTACACGTTGTTTTCCAACGTGACATCTTCACTGTCTCCAGTCCTCCTTCTCCCTTGACTGCCTCACACCCACATAACAGGATTGCCATTCCTATATTCTGATGTATTCCTCTTCTTGCCTCCATAGATATATTTAGTTATCTTCACAAGCACCATAACACTCCACCTATCTTCTCTTCGTCTTCTCTACGTTCAACCTCATGTTTTAAACACCCATCTACACACCCATCCACTCCCAAATATCTAAATATATTTCTAAATATATTGCTGGTTTCTTTTTCTGTCTCATAAACACGCTAAGATAACAGGGATATCTTGCTACTCCTACTTACACTTTGGTCACACTTCACAGACACGCACATTGCATATATATATATACATACATCTAGGTTTTTCTTTCTTTTTCTAAATAGCTCTTGTTCTTTTTTATTTCTTCTATTGTCCATGGGGAAGTGGAAAAGAATCTTTCCTCCGTAAGCCATGCGTGTCGTATGAGGCGACTAAAATGCCGGGAGCAATGGGCTAGTAACCCCTTCTCCTGTATACAATTACTAAAAAAGAGAAGAAAAAAAAAACTTTATAAAACTGGGTTGCTTAAATGTTTCGTGGATGTAGTGCGGATGACAAGAAACAGATGATTGCTGATGTTATGAATGAAAGAAGTTGGATGTCCTGGCCCTAAGCGAAACAAAGCTGAAGGGGGTAGGAGAGTTTCAGTGGGGGAAATAAATGGGATTAAATCTGGAGTATCTGAGAGAGTTAGAGCAAAGGAAGGGGTAGCAGTAATGTTAAATGATCAGTTATGGAAGGAGAAAAGAGAATATGAATGTGTAAATTCAAGAATTATTGTGGATTAAAGTAAAGGTTGGATGCGAGAAGTGGGTCATAATAAGCGTGTATGCACCTGGAGAAGAGAGGAATGCAGAGGAGAGAGAGAGATTTTGGGAGATGTTAAGTGAATGTATAGGAGCCTTTGAACCAAGTGAGAGAGTAATTGGGGTAGGGGACTTGAATGCTAAAGTAGGAGAAACTTTTAGAGAGGGTGTGGTAGGTAAGTTTGGGGTGCCAGGTGTAAATGATAATGGGAGCCCTTTGATTGAACTTTGTATAGAAAGGGGTTTAGTTATAGGTAATACATATTTTAAGAAAAGAGGATAATAAAGTATACACGATATGATGTAGGGCGAAATGACAGTAGTTTGTTGGATTATGTATTGGTAGATAAAAACTGTTGAGTAGACTTCAGGATGTACATGTTTATAGAGGGGCCACAGAAAATATCAGATCCACTTTCTAGTTGTAGCTACACTGAGAGTAAAAGGTAGATGGGATACAAGGAGAATAGAAGCATCAGGGAAGAGAGAGGTGAAGGTTTATAAACTAAAAGAGGAGGCAGTTAGGGTAAGATATAAACAGCTATTGGAGGATAGATGGGCTAATGAGAGCATAGGCAATGGGTCGAAGAGGTATGGGGTAGGTTTAAAAATGTAGTGTTAGAGTGTTCAGCAGAAGTTTGTGGTTACAGGAAAGTGGGTGCAGGAGGGAAGAGAGCGATTGGTGGAATGATGATGTAAAGAGAGTAGTAAGGGAGAAAAAGTTAGCATATGAGAAGTTTTTACAAAGTAGAAGTGATGCAAGGAGGGAAGAGTATATGGAGAAAAAGAGAGAAGTTAAGAGAGTGGTGAAGCAATGTAAAAAGAGAGCAAATGAGAGAGTGGGTGAGATGTTATCAACAAATTTTGTTGAAAATAAGAAAAAGTTTTGGAGTGAGATTAACAAGTTAAGAAAGCCTAGAGAACAAATGGATTTGTCAGTTAAAAATAGGAGAGGAGAGTTATTAAATGGAGAGGTAGAGGTATTGGGAAGATGGAAGGAATATTTTGAGGAATTGTTAAATGTTGATGAAGATAGGGAAGCTGTGATTTCGTGTATAGGGCAAGGAGGAATAACATCTTGTAGGAGTGAGGAAGAGCCAGTTGTGAGTGTGGGGGAAGTTCGTGAGGCAGTAGGTAAAATGAAAGGGGGTAAGGCAGCCGGGATTGATGGGATAGATAGAAATGTTAAAAGCAGGTGGGGATATAGTTTTGGAGTGGTTGGTGCAATTATTTAATAAATGTATGGAAGAGGGTAGGTACCTAGGGATTGGCAGAGAGCATGCATAGTTCCTTTGTATAAAGGCAAGGGATAAAAGAGAGTGCAAAAATTATAGGGGGATAAGTCTGTTGAGTGTACCTGGTAAAGTGTATGGTAGAGTTATAATTGAAAGAATTAAGAGTAAGACGGAGAATAGGATAGCAGATGAACAAGGAGGCTTTAGGAAAGGTAGGGGGTGTGTGGACCAGGTGTTTACAGTGAAACATATAAGTGAACAGTATTTAGATAAGGCTAAAGAGGTCTTTGTGGCATTTATGGATTTGGAAAAGGCGTATGACAGGGTGGATAGGGGGCAATGTGGCAGATGTTGCAAGTGTATGGTGTAGGAGGTAGGTTACTGAAAGCAGTGAAGAGTTTTTACGAGGATAGTGAGGCTCAAGTTAGAGTATGTAGGAAAGAGGGAAATTTTTTCCCAGTAAAAGTAGGCCTTAGACAAGGATGTGTGATGTCACCGTGGTTGTTTAATATATTTATAGATGGGGTTGTAAGAGAAGTAAATGCGAGGGTCTTGGCAAGAGGCGTGGAGTTAAAAGATAAAGAATCACACACAAAGTGGGAGTTGTCACAGCTGCTCTTTGCCGATGACACTGTGCTCTTGGGAGATTCTGAAGAGAAGTTGCAGAGATTGGTGGATGAATTTGGTAGGGTGTGCAAAAGAAGAAAATTAAAGGTGAATACAGGAAAGAGTAAGGTTATGAGGATAACAAAAAGATTAGGTGATGAAAGATTGAATATCAGATTGGAGGGAGAGAGTATGAGGAGGTGAACGTATTCAGATATTTGGGAGTGGACGTGTCAGCGGATGGGTCTATGAAAGATGAGGTGAATCATAGAATTGATGAGGGAAAAAGAGTGAGTGGTGCACTTAGGAGTCTGTGGAGACAAAGAACTTTGTCCTTGGAGGCAAAGAGGGGAATGTATGAGAGTATAGTTTTACCAACGCTCTTATATGGGTGTGAAGCGTGGGTGATGAATGTTGCAGCGAGGAGGAGGCTGGAGGCAGTGGAGATGTCATGTCTGAGGGCAATGTGTGCTGTGAATATAATGCAGAGAATTCGTAGTTTGGAAGTTAGGAGGAGGTGCGGGATTACCAAAACTGTTGTCCAGAGGGCTGAGGAAGGGTTGTTGAGGTGGTTCGGACATGTAGAGAGAATGGAGCGAAACAGAATGACTTCAAGAGTGTATCAGTCTGTAGTGGAAGGAAGGCGGGGTAGGGGTCGGCCTAGGAAGGGTTGGAGGGAGGGGGTAAAGGAGGTTTTGTGTGCGAGGGGCTTGGACTTCCAGCAGGCATGCGTGAGCGTGTTTGATAGGAGTGAATGGAGACAAATGGTTTTTAATACTTGACGTGCTGTTGGAGTGTGAGCAAAGTAACATTTATGAAGGGATTCAGGGAAACCGGCAGGCCGGACTTGAGTCCTGGAGATGGGAAGTACAGTGCCTGCACTCTGAAGGAGGGGTGTTAATGTTGCAGTTTAAAAACTGTAGTGTAAAGCACCCTTCTGGCAAGACAGTGATGGAGTGAATGATGGTGAAAGTTTTTCTTTTTCGGGCCACCCTGCCTTGGTGGGAATCGGCCGGTGTGATAATAATAATAATAATTTCCTTCTTCTCAATTTCCTCCCCCAATTTGATATTTATTTTTTAATTACTTTAACATGTTCTTACTTTGATCACATTGCTCATATTTATATTCGCTTTTAATTTCCTTTTTCAACTTCAAATTTATCCATCAACTTTGCAACTTTTCTTCACAATATTTTGAAAGAACTGTCATCAGCCTAAAGTTAAAATTTTCACTACGTCTAGATTTATTATCATATATTTACGTGTCTCTCTCCAGCACCCCAACAGTCACACCTTTTTTACAACCCCATATATAAATAGGTTAGACAGCCATGATGACATCACTCTCTAAGGTGTTATGCTGTACTTTCTACAAGACTGATAGACTGAACACATCAACTCCAGGTTGAGGGACTGATTACCTCAAACTCCTCCTCTCCTTACACCTTTCTGCTTTGTATTGAACTGATGAAGCCACTGTGCGGCGAAACGTTTCCTCAATAAAGAGTATCATAAGTTGCGTAAGTGTCTCAATCTTCAACTTGTCGTTTTTTTTAGACCATTTATCACAAGGTGTAATGAACCTTTACTTTACAAAATAATTCCTCATCTTACCTACATATCTTAATCCTCACTTTCCGTACTAAAAAAAATATTTATTGCTTTTAGGAGCCTACCAGTTATTTCATACATTTGCAACATCTGACTAGTTACCAGTGTCGAGTGCATTTTACCCCTGACTCTTGCAATAACAGCAACAACAGTTCATGCAGGGGAACTGCAGCAGTAGTTCATTGACTGCAGTACCCTTATTGCATGCAATATTGTATAGTTGGTAATAACACTATTGCACATTTTTCCTATATTCATAAACGCAACCAACAGCTCTTCGTCTGTATCTAAGTATTCTTCACTTATAGAAGCACTTAGTATTAAACATCCCTTACTTTTCCTAAACTATCATTTTGTCTTTGCAACCAAGTACTTTATCTCACCCCGTAACCTAGCCCTTTTAAAAATTCTACCACACAGTTTTACCAGGTATAATCATCAGGCTTATATGATGTGGTCGTCTGAAGTGCTAATTGACCCACTCGAGCTGACTACTTTACATAAAATATCTCATCCTGTCAATACTCTTTTTCTCCTATACTCTTTTTTGCAGTCATTTCTCGTGTTCATTTTCTGTCATAAAGGGGAAACTACTCATTCTCTCTGTCAGGACTCAGAACTATGTCCCCACCTGTTTTTACCTTAACTATTAACGTTATTATATATTCAGTGGAAGGGTCGCTCCCGTAAGGGTTATATTCTTCCCCGTGATAATGGGAGGGGTTAGGGTAATGAGGTTTGATCCAAAAATTTGGAGGTGAGTCGCAATTTCGTCTATCAAGAGTCCTTGACCTGCACTCGAGCAGATAGTTTGATGCTGTGTATAAATGATGTACTCCCAACAAGAGTGAAGAAAAGACACATTGTAGAATAAGCTTTAATGGGAGCAACATTTTACTTTACACAGAACGAGACGTTGTTCCCGTAGAAGCTTGTTCTGTAACGTGCTTCTTGTCTTCAGCATGACTTGGAGTTCTGAGGACTACTGACTGGTGAGGCAGGTGTTCTGAGGACTACTGACTGGTGAGGCAGGTGTTCTGAGGACTACTTACTAGTGAGGCAGGTGTTCTCGAAGTAGTCGTAGTCCTGGTGATGTTCCAGGAGGTTGGGATGTGTTCTGACGGTGTAGGAGGAGTGGTAGCAACGGCGACGCTCCTTGTCGAAGGTACCGCTCCTGCAGGTCCTGTTGGTGCTCACCTGCTCGTCTGCGTACTGGTTCAGACACCTGCGATGAGACAAATTACAAGTGGAAGAACTACAGGTGAGGGAGGAACGAGCGATGGTCTTGTTGGGGGTGGTCTTACTGTTATATACAAGGCCAACATTGTCGAAGTACCACACTTGGCTCCACTCAGAGAACAGCGAGAAGTGAGCTTCTATACAACAAGACGGGCAGCAAGCAGCAACTTCACTCTGATTGTAACCTTCTCCAGAACATCACTTCATCTAAGATCATTTATTCTTAGGATGACTCGAGTCTGGAGCATGTTCGTACAGCATAATGATACCGAAATAAAGTCAGTTGATCAAATAAAATTGTTGGCACACAGATGGTTCCAACTTCATCCTGTATCACATTTGTATGTCTCATAACAATAAAAAAGCTTTCAAATGTGCTGATGTAAGAGCTCTTAGCTTGTAAATAAAGTTAGGAACCCGAACATAACCTTGTGAAACCCCGTGTAAAAAAAAGAGTTAGAACAAAAGATAAACATCTCACTTGCAACAGTAACAAAACACTCACTTGTCTTGGCACTCCTCGATGGTTGATGCCACGACCTGTACGGCGTCCTTCGGGATGAACCTCTTGTTCCTGAGACGCTCCATGGCGTACATCCGGGTGGGGCACTCCGCTCTTACCACGGAAGCTGTCGGGAAAGATGTATGGTCATGCAGAGTTGATAGTGAGCTTCATACATTCACTCACGCACACACACACAACCCGTTTCCCATCAAGCATAAACAGTAGCTAGGGAAAACTCTTAAAGGGTGGATAAGAAGAGTGTGCTCACTGTTAAAGAGACAAAGAACATTAGGTGGAATCTAAAAACCTCAAATAAGCTACAGGGTGTTAGCAAATACTTCACTATAAGGGTGTGAAAAAGTAAAATGAACAGATTATGAAGCTTCAAGAGAACATACAAAAGGGCTGAAAAGGTAGGGAACCAACAATCCTATTCTATTTTTAAGATACCAAGTGCAGAAACACGTACACATACCTCTCACACAACCGAAATATCTCGGAGCTCGGTCCTAGAGGACCAAATTTTGATGACTAACAAGAGTAAAGGTTTCTTACCGGTATAGCATACTTCGCGGAAATGGACACTGTCTTGTTCATCCCGGTAACGAATTTCGGAGTACTGGTCTGGCGGGCGAGTGAGCAGGCACTTGGTTTCTGTGAATCCAAGAGCATTGTTGTAGTAGTTGATCTTCCTGCCGGGGTGGAAGTCGAAGGCGGTACAGACGCTCTTGAAGCCCTGGGCCGTCTCGTCTTGCAGGCAGCGGTCCACACACATCCCCAGCACCTCCACCGGCGTGTCGTTCTTACGGATCTGCCACAAGAGTCACAAACAGCGACGATTAGCATTTTTAAAATTAACAGTCCTAATGGTAATTTTTTTAAAGCCTCTTGAGACTCGAGGCAACGACCCCTAGCTACCTAGTTGCATAGCCTAGAGTTTTACGACTCATTCGCCATGGATTCAAACTCTACCCGTACTGTAGTTTGGCTATACCCTTGCTTGTGCTCACGGGCGTGTTGGAATCATTTCTCAAATGCATATCCAAGTAAAACCATCCCACTGACAATAACAATGACACAATTATGTCATTATTAATAATAACCATGTGAAACACTATCCCATAAAGGTCAGGCAGCACATGGATAGGCGGAGGCTTAAACCTCCGTCCGGAAATCGCAGCCTGAGTTCAAACTAATGAGACTGAAGGGAAGGGAGAAAGTCTTAGGCAAGACCAGTGAGACTTACCACATCAGCTTGCATGGGCGTCCTCTCCATGACGGTGTCCGGAAGCCTCTCGTAGCGCACCAGACCCACGCCGTTGTTGCAGGCCGGCAGCGACGCTGTGGACACAACCACCTCCTTCGATTATATTATTTTTTGCACTCATATACAGACAGGCAAACTTCTTTTGGGTTAACGGCAGCAAGGAGCAATGTTAGTTTTATTATTATTAATTATTATTATTATTATTTATTATGGAGGAATGTTCATTAGGCGAAAAATTCATTAAGGACCAAATTGATAATATTGTTCAGCGCTTCTTTTTTATAATAATAATAATAATAATAATAATAATAATAATAATAATAATAATAATAATAATAATAATAACAATCCGTAGTTTTTCATGGCGAAATTTAAAAAAAAAATGTACTCACCAGAGATGGGTCCATTTTTCAGGAGAGTTATATGGTGCTATAAACCCAGTTTTATGAGTGTATATAAAAAAAGAGAAAAAATGATTGAAATATAGTGAGAGGTTTTCAGAAAACGTAACTTGAGTTTTCACTATAACTGAGTTGAAAGGCTTTGGGGGTCCAGGAGCTTCACCAACCTTCAACCTAACAAGAGTAGATGGTGTAGAGGCCGTCACAGCCCTTCAACCCAACAATAACAAAATCTCTTGTGTTGTTTGAAGACTTCTTCCAATATTTTGATATTTTAATATATTTCTGTTACGCACTCGCGAATCGGACGACATAACACCAGCAAGTCTCTACTAAACAGTGGATACCGGTCATAATCATAACCATGACTTTTAAAGAGGTGGACCGGTAAGCCGGCGGAAGTCCTCGGTCAGATGACCAAAAGCCCCAGCTGTGCATCTTTATATGACTAAGACCCGCGTCAGGAAGCACTTCTCCTGTTTTCTGACAAACATTATACCTACCTATTAAACAGTGGACTCGTCTCTGGTGATGGGAGGCAGAACTGACGGAAGATACAGTAATATATCTCTTCTCTCTCACACTGAGGACCTGTGTCCTCGTGTTAGACACGAGTGAAGACAAATGTATTTTGAGACTTGACGAGCTGTTGGAGTGTGAACAGCGTAATATTTTGTGAAGTGATTCAGGAAAACGGGGTTTAAATAGTTTTTATATATATATATATATAATATATATAAATATAAATATATATATATATATATATATATATATATTGTTGTGTGTGTGTGTGGTGTGTGTACTCACCTAGTTGTACTCACCTACTTGAGATTGCAGGGGTCGAGTCCAAGCTCCTGGCCCCGCCTATTCACTGGTCGCTACTAGGTCACTTTCCCTGAACCGTGAGCTTTATCATACCTCTGCTTAAAGCTATGTATGGATCCTGCCTCCACCACATCGCTTCCCAAACTATTCCATTTCCTGACTACCCTGTGGCTGAAGAAATACTTCCTAACATCCCTGTGATTCATCTGTGTCTTCAACTTCCAACTGTGTCCCCTTGTTGCTGTGTCCCATCTCTGGAACATCCTGTCTTTTTCCACCTTTTATGTGTGTGTGTGTGTGTGTGTGTTGCCTGCATCAGCAGGCAACACACACACATCTAATCTCATCTGTGGAGATTTGTGAGGTGATAAATAATAAATGTATTAACATTTTCTGGTGGTAGTGTGAGTGGAAGTGGTCGTTAAGAAGAGGAAAAGGTCGTCGGCAGCCTGGAGTGCTGTATGGTCGTTGCTGGAGCTGGGAGGTGCTAATCAGGCTGGGGCAGAGCTCAGTTTTATTTTTTTTAGGGGGGGGGGTTGAGTCGTTATTTGAAATTACCTTACGTATATGTTTAAGGATGGACCTATAAGATATGGACCCCTGAATTATTTTTATTTTAATGTAGGAGTCTTTTAGCTATCGAATAGATCATTATTCACTGTTATTAAGCTGATAACGAGAACACAGCTCACACCATGTACTCGAGATGACGTTATTCAAGCTCTTCACAGCATTACACTTCAGCTCTCTCGCAGAGATCACAATCTCATTAGAATTGAGAATTCCGTAAAATAATCCACTTTCATGTTCGTAATTCAGGTTGAAAAACGCAAACGAAATCAAATTTGACTGAATTTACCAAAAATAAAAACGTAATAAAGTCTTGGTACGTCTGATGAACAGTGTTTGGAGTCGAAATAATTTTTTTCCTTGGGAGTACGGGGGCCAGCCTCACAAGCCTTCACTTTCCAATACAATAAAGAATAATGAAGAAATATATATTGAAATATATATTGAAATAATAATCTAAATTCATTTTTTTTTGTAAAAAGCACAGCCCGACTGAGGCAGCGAACATGAGAAGCAAGTGTTGATGGTGAAGGTGACAGTGTTGCGTCACACAGGGTGCCTGGCGGTGAGTGGTCCACCCTGTGCTATGGGCCGTCACGAAATCATGCGCTTTGTGCTCCCATGTAGTTTACGAGGATATATATCGATACATGTTTTCAGTGTAATGCTATTGGGTTGAAAAGAGGCCCTTGAGCTGTGTTCGTGAAGCGTGGAAAAACAACACAGTAACAACAAATTTGGTTATGTCATGCAACTGATGCATGTTTTGTAGGACTGTCATGCAGGTGGGAAAGTTGGGTGTCCATGCAGGTAGGGAAGGTTAGGTGTCCATGCAGGTAGGAAGGTTGGGTGTCCATGCTGGTGGGAAGGTTGGGTGTCCACGCAGGTGGGAAGCTTGGGTGTCCATGCAGGTGGGAAGCTTGGGTGTCCATGCTGGTGGGAAGCTTGGGTGTTCATGCAGGTGGGAAGCTTGGGTGTCCATGCAGGTGGGAAGGAAGGCTGGGTATCCATGCAGGTGGGAAGGAAGGTTGGGTGTCCATACAGGTGGGAAGGTTGGGTGTCTATGCAGGTGGAAGGGTGGGTATTAAAACTGTTGAAGCACTGCCGTGTAGGTGGGAAGGTTGAGTGTCCATACAGGTGGGAGGATTGGGTGTCCATGCAGGTGGGAGGGTTGGGTGTCCATGCAGGTGGGAAGATTGGGTGTCCAAGCTGAATGGATGGTTGGGTGTCCACGCAGGTGGGAAGACCGAGTGATTATGCTGGTGGGACGGTAATGTCCATACTTTGATGTAGCATTATCATGCAGATGGAAAGGTTGGGATGTGTCCATGCAGGTGGTGGTGAGTATGCCAGCCAAGACCATCACGCAGGCAGGCCAGAGCAGGCGGCATCGACCTGGCCAGGTGCGTCATGCACCGAGGGAGCACCAAAAGCTGCAGCTCAGAGCTCCCACCTCAGGAGAGGTGGCCAAAACAATGCCGCACTTACCCTCCTTTCCCTCTGTCTTAGGCTTCTCGCGCTCTCCTCCCTCCTCCGCGGGGCTCTGCTGCCCCGGATCATCCACAGTGATGTTGATTTCCGCAGTCAGCGTCTCATCGGCCACCTCTCCTGGCAGAGGGTCATCCCCGGTCACCACCTGGTTGAGGGCAGGCGCGGGGATGGAATCCAACTGACGTGGTAAAGAAGGCTGGCCATTCATGGCAGCTCCTGCTCTGGCAGCACCTTCCACCACCTGCCGGTTGATACCATAGGGCTCTCCTGTGCCCTCTGCTGCCGGCAACATGCCTGTGTGACACAACATTGTACATCTACACACATCCTTCGACCCGTACACACGCCCTCCACATAAGCATGTGAGTGCGGCTGAGGCAAGTGCTGATTAGTTAGTTTATTGGCCATGTTAAGCCTATCGACTACACTATGGTCATTAAGCCTAGAAAGTATCCTGTAAGCTACCAGTTAGTACTACTGCAGTGCTTTTTTGTTGCAGGTGTTCTGTGGTGCATTTGTAGTGTTCAGACTACAAATGTGTTGAGAGATCACGTGTATCACGAGGTGTGAGGCATCTCAGCTATGTCTACATGTGGGTGTACAAGGAAAAGAGTCGCAGCTAAAGCCAGCTATAGCGCAGCACCCGACGAAGGAATAAGCTAAATTGCATTTCTATTCTTGTCTTGTTTGATGCTATGCTATTTACACAAGTCTGTGTCCGGTCTCCAGTATGTGAGGAACAGGTCATCACTGTCTATGAGGGATGGGTCACAGCTGTATGTGTGTCAGGATGAGGTCACCACTGTGTGTGTGTGTGTGTGTGAGGGAAGGTCACTACTGCTTCTCATGAACACATATTATCTAGGTAAAGGAAGAGAGGGATTTAGAACAGATGTAAATAAGACAGTCAGACCTTCACATGAACACTCATCTCGCAGTCCATTAGACTCCACTAGTCCGGCTTACACACTAACAGCGTAATAGAACATTCTAAATTATATATACTTATGAAGTATCTGCTAAACATTATATAATTGTGTTATATCCCACAATTTAATCATTAAACATTTTCAAAACGAACATCTGTACCTTCATGAATCCAAAAGAACTGCTGTACCTGATATGTGAGAAGAAGCATTAAAACAACTGTATAACTATCGGAAGGACACACAAGGGTAAAATATGTAACAACTGCCTTCGGGAAAATTGAAGGGGAAAGGGTTCGATACGGCGCCAGCTGTCAGATGCCCTATAAACCCCCACACGATCACTATGGACGCTGTTTACAATGCGCCCGAATGTAGCCGTCATCCAACTATATATAAAAAAAGAAAATGTCACCAGATTGGTAAAATTTGGTAACCTCACTGGTGGAAGGAAGAATTAGAGAAGATAATAAAATAAAAAATCATAATAACGTGGCTGGAAAATTTACAAATAACACGAGCTTCGGAGAGGAGCCTTGCGCAGCAATTCGGCCCTTTCTTGACCATTGTCATATCACGAATGGCAAGATACTTACGAGTGTAGATGATTTAGACCGAGACTCTTTGATAGGAGGAATGGAATGGGGGGGGGGGAGGGGAATAAAAGTAAGTTAAAGACGAAACAAAGTAACAACGATATCAGAAAATATTTTGGAGTGTTGAGGTAAATGAAGCGACCTGGTTGAGGAACTGGTGGGAACACAGATACCACGCACAGTTTTAAGAACAGGTATGATGAGGCCCATGAGGCCAGGAATAGTGCGAACCTTCACGTGTTACTGAGAGCCGGAGACAAAGCCTTATGCTATAGAATAAGCTTTTACTGACATAACATCTTGCTCTGTGTAGAGCTTTAACAAGTCATGAACTGAACTCTACCAGGAGCGAAACGTTGTCTCAGTAAAAGATTGGCAACTTACGTCTTTGTTTACTACTTTTGGTAATGTTCCGTTTGAATTCGTTTTCACATTTCCTTGACTTGAAGTTATATTAGTTCACTCGAGTATCAGAAGTGTCGAAGCCGTGTGGTAGCTTCGCAGCTGTGAGGGAGAGAGTGGGGGATAGATAGATAGATAGAGAGAGAGAGAGAGAGAGAGAGAGAGAGAGAGAGAGAGAGAGAGAGAGAGAGAGAGAGAGAGAGAAAGGAAGAAGAGGAGGAGGAACACATCACTCACAATTACCATGAACCAGTCTAGTCTGGAGGGCGACGATTTAACAGAAGCGGAACATCAATTGAATTACAGTCAACAGTGAGAGTGGATGTCATGGACCTGGAAGAACACACACACACAAACACACACACACACACACACACACACACACATACGAAGAAGTATGATGAGGCTCATGGAGCAGGAAGAGTGACCTAGTAGCGACCAGTGAAGAGACGGGTCCAGGAGCTGTGGCTCAACCCCTGCAACCACAACTAGGTGAGCCCACACGCATACATACATGGGCCAGGAGATAAGTTACATCCCGGGTAACAGCCTACGTTTCTGGATCAAGAGAACGTAATGCCGACAACAGACAAGACAAGACACATTTCAGGCTGATGTTTCGCTCTCTGTAGAGCTTTAGTCAAGACCTGGGACAACGTTTGTCACAGAACCAAAACGTTGTCCCAATAATGATTGTTCTGCTGTGTGTGTGTCCAGGCACAGTGGGTCATTAAGGTCTTACATAATTACTTACATAATTACCCCGAGCGGCTGACGAATAGATTACTCAAGGATTACTCCTTGACGAATAAATTAACAACGAGAAAAGGAACAGGTTAATAATAGATGGAAGAAGAGGGATCTTGAAGAGCCGAGTAATATATGTCAAGAGGTTCGCCAGAGGGAGTTGACCAGCTACCCAACCATCACTTCTAGTACTGAACACCTCAACTCACCCACTTAACACTAGCAACACTTAACACCTCAACCTCACCCACCTAACACTAGCAACACTTAACACCTCAACTCACCCACCTAACACTAGCAACACTTAGCACCTCAACTCACCCACTTAACACTAGCAACACTTAGCACCTCAACCTCACCCACCTAACACTAGCAACACTTAACACCTCAACTCACCCACCTAACACTAGCAACACTTAGCACCTCAACTCACCCACTTAACACTAGCAACACTTAACACCTCAACTCACCCACTTAACACTAGCAACACTTAACACCTCAACTCACCCACCTAACACTAGCAACACTTAACACCTCAACTCACCCACCTAACACTAGCAACACTTCCAGCAAGTGAACCCAGAATCCACCTCTCAACACTAACACAGTGTTACCAACACCACACAGTAATCTCACATAAACCAATGTACGTCCATCATTTAACTGTCCTGATCCTCGCTGTCATGGGAGAATATTTTGTTACTTTTGTTTATCGTATTACCGCTTTAATTTGCTTAAAGTAAACGTTGTTGATGGGTTTACCGAATCGTTGGTTTAAAGCTTATCTACTACGCCAGGGTCTTTAAGGCTGCATATCACCTGTATACCACAAGTCAAGAATACTTTAATGCGTGAAGTATGGATTAAAGTATATATATATATACAGTACACTGATATGCAACCCGTATATAACGGATAGCTTATCACAACATCCACTGCATGAGCCGTATATAAAGTACATTCTATTCAGCACTATAAACATCCACTGTACAACCCGCACATAACGGCCGGCTTCTCGCACTAACAATGCGACGGTGAGGGGAGTTTAACCGGTGTTTCCCTGTTATACTGAGCTGGAGTGCTGGTCGAGGTGCCAACAACGATGTAGGTGAACCAGGTGAGGGACGAACTGGTTCATTCCTCCTGTCTTTCTGTAGTTGTCACAGTTAAGACTGAGAACTTCTTGCTCAGTTTGCAGTCTCTTTTAATAGTGTTGACGGTGATACTATTACTACTACTACTAGTATTAATAATAATAATAATAATAATAATAATAATAATAATAATAATAATAATAATAATAATAATAATTAATTACTTTTATTATTATTATTTGTGCTTTATACAATTCTCGGCGAAAAGAAGTGAAGATCGCATAAAAGATGGAGAGAGAGAGAGAGAGAGAGAGAGAGAGAGAGAGAGAGAGAGAGAGAGAGAGAGAGAGAGGGAGAGAGAGGAGAGAGAGAGAGAGAGAGAGAGAGAGAGAGAGAGAGAGAGAGAGAGAGAGAGAGAGAGAGAGACAGAGAGACAGAGATACACAGGGTGTGGTTGACTAGGGGGAAGTAAAGCTCAACAAAAAAAAAATGCATCCTCAATTATTTGAATATCTCTCTTACTTCCTCTCTCCTCTCCTCTCCTCTCTACTTTTTTCTTCTTCCCGTTTTAACCCTGATTGTTCCTCTTAGTTTCTTTACTAATCTGTATTATGGTACTCTATCAAGTGCTGCTTTACAGTCCTAGAAGAATCAGTCCACCAGCCCTGTTTCTCCTCTCATATTAACATGACTGTCGTACATCGCCGGCAAATTCGCAAGACAGGATTTTCCATCCGTAAATCTGCGCCAGTATTTTGAAAAAAAAAATCTTTTTTTTTTTCTTATGTTCCAGTGTCCTTTTCATTGTTATGTTCTCCAGAACTTCCGGCTTTATTTTTTTCAGATACCTAGTGTGTAGTTCAGGGCCTCTTGTCTGGCCCTTGTTTATATACGGGAATTACATTTGCCCTTATTTTTGTCTTTCCGGCAGTTGTTCAGCCTGGTGAGTTTAGCGGTATATCTTTGCTACTTGGTCACTACAGAAGAAAACAGGCACAGTACGTCGCCTGTGTATAAATGGCTACATCACTCTTTTGTGTTAGTGTGACTTTGTAAACGGTCAAAGTTGGACCAAAACGTCGTCATAAGCTTCTCTCTCTCTCTCTCCTATGTGAGGGTTATTTGTGTACTGCGTCACATAGTGTTTCGGCGCCGCCTCACAGCATCCACGGAGATGTGTTGTCTGGTCACACTGCTTTTGTTGCGCACATCTCATTTAGTAGTCTTATCAATTCTTCTTTTGTTGTATCGAGGCTGTCTAGCATCTGTTAGTCTATCTTGACTACTGTGCCGTATGTTCTGCTGTGACGATCACTGTCACTCTTTTACTAAGACTCTACACACACCTCTGCCACTCTTCTTCAGTGTCTATCTTCCTCCTCCTTCATCAGCCTTATCACTCGCTCCTTCATAATCTTCTTTTCTTTTTTCTTATGTTTCTCTGGAGTAACTTTGCTTTCATCTTCGATGCTACATTACTTTTTTATCAAACTGCCTTTCAGCTTCTCTTCCTATTCTGGCTCTCCTGC